ATCATTTCAAGTTATAGCGCTTCAGATATCAATATCAGCACAATAGGGTCAGGCTTAGACCGTTCACAATGAAACATCATAGGCACTAAAACTATACTATCTGTATATATATATCTTGTGCATTCTGCAATTGTGACGGCCCTTAATACGAACTTTAAATTATTTATAATAATATTTCCATACTTTTCGCCGTCAATTTTGCCGTTCTCGTCAAATGTCTTGAAGGCATTGATTACAACGTCGTCGTCGTCAGCACCTACAAGGCAAACAATTATTTAATCTTAAAAATTCAATATTTTTTTGAGTCTTTCTTAAGTTAAAGTTAATTAAACATACCTGATCCTGACATACGAACAGCGAACAAATTCAACAATTGAGTGAAGTTGATGGGGGCTGAAGCTTCGTTAAGCATTTCTTCGATCTCCTTATCGGTTGCCAATCGGCCGACGGAATCGAAGGCTGCACGAAGATCATTCTTACCAATGATACCATCCTTATCCGCGTCCATTAGCTGGAATGCCTGTAAACGCAGCAGCAGCAGCAATGCGTTTTAAATAATCAATTAAGAGATTTAGAGATGAGATTTGGAGATGATAAATTAGAATTGTACGTAAAATTATCCTTTTTCGCCGTACCTCCTTAAACTCGGCCACCTGTTTTTGAGAGAACATGGAGAACACACTGGACCCGCTGCGTTTAGCCTTGCGACTGCCGCGACTGCTAGCTCTGGCAGAGCCAGAGTCTTTTGGTGTACCTGTAGGAGTTGGTGCCTTCTCTTCAGCTGGCGCCGGCTCGGGTTCGGGTGCTGGAGCCTCCTCCTTCTTCTTGGTCTTCTTCTTCTTCTCTTTATCCGCCTAAGATATAAAATGTCTCAACATTTTGTAACATTTCTTTTTTTTTTTAAATCTGGAATCACTGGAAACAACTGCGTTCGAAAAAGATATTAAATGCCACCATTTAAATATCGAAGATAATCTGCTTAAATAATATTCAAAATATATTTTAAAATAAAATTCCGTTTATGTAAAAAATAAATTTAAATAATAAAATATCATAAAATAAAAGATAAATCTTTATATCATTAGTTTAGAAATTTTTCAATTTCTTTTACTTAATTTTTTTATTTTTTTTCTTAATTTTTAAATTTCAAAAAGCAATCTAAACTTTTCGGCACATATTTGAAGTAATTTCATAAGTTTATTATTAATTTCAGTTATTTATTTAACTTTTTTAAATTTTTGAAAGTTATATGTTAAATTACGTCTTTAATATTTTAAGTTATTAAATTTAAATAAGTGAATTGAGATGATATGATAGTTGCATAAGAATGATTAGATCTGGAGATAAAAAACTGTAATTAAAAACGATTAATTTACATGTTTAATAAAAATATATTTTATATATTTTACATTATGAATTTATATCATGAATAATTATTTATTTCTTTTTGTTTACAAGTTTTTTATAAATCTTTTTACAATTTACATTTACTTAATTTTATTTATAAAATGCAATAAGAAATTCATATTTTTTACATTGAGGATTGAAAAGCAAATTAAATATAAAAATATATTAAATCATATTAAAATAATATTAATATTAATATTAAAATAAAAAAGTTATTTTGTTAATATATAATTATGTTAATTGGTCCAAGTATAAGAATTCATTGATATCAAGAAGCCTGGTCCAATTATCGCATGAGAAAATTTACGGGGCGCTGCCGGTTGGTACTAAGAATAGAATAGTACGGAAAAGCTGCCAGGACGTATATAGAGCGATCATCCAGTTATCGTATTGCCTCTCGAATTACCATTGTTACATAATTATTTGTATCGGCAAAGAAAAAATTATAGAAAAATTATAGAAATGAAGCCGTGTTAATATCGGACATATACACAATTTATTTTACTAATCAAATCGATACTTTTCGTGCGAAATAAAAATTAAAATAAAAATTGTTTTTTTATTATTATTATTTTTTTTTTTAATATAAATTACACATTTCATTACGGATTTATAGAAATATTTATTTTTATTTTTTTAGACAATTTTGAATATATTGTATTAAAGGGGGATGATAACTCAAATTAGAAGAAATTAAATAATTTTGCTATTTTATAACAATTTATGTTGGTACGATAAAAGAAGCATATCAGCATGTGTTTTTTATCTTCAAGTTTCAGCGAAGAAATAACGATTTCGTATGTTTGTTCGATCGGACATAAACGGAGATTTGTATCGACGGAATTTATTATCGAATTTTGAAGGATTGTCCGCTACCAAAAAATTTGATGAAGATCACTGTCGCACTTCATCGTTCACAAATCCGTAAAAGTCCTCGACTCGTCATCACTTGGCATGTATCGCCCTCACTCTGCGTAATCCATCTCGGTGAAATGCACTTATATTCGCGATTGTTTAACAGTGTTTCCGCATCTTGTCACATATAGATATAAATCCGCTATATCGTAAGATATATAGACTCTCCCGCGATTCTCGAACGGAGCTCGCGGTGGTCGGTGTCACGAAGACACGTTTTCTCAACGACGCGCTACTTACCATGTCTACGGTCGATTTCTAAGAGGTGGACAATACGAGATGGTCACGACGAACCAACTGTCCGAATCATAGAGCCGAACTTATCTAAGTAACTTCTGCGGATCTCCCCCACCAGCGGGCCGGAGGTTGCCCGAGCCGGGGTGCCCTGCTCCGGGTACAACATCTATCTGACCATATTTAGTGCGAGTCGCCTCAAAATAGCGACCCTTTCGACGTTTCGACTAAAACAGTTTGCCAGGGAGAGTGTAGGACTCTGACAACCACGGTCCTCGTCTCGACGAGGAGACGACGTCCGTCCTCAGACACCGATCTCCCGACCGCTCGTGAGTCAATCAAGTGCCCGCTCCGAAGACACATCGCATATTTGGAACAACCATAATCGTTAGGATGATCTTCCCCTTGCATAATCCTATTTCACTTTTTATGCGAAATAAGAAATAGAAAAACCTGTGTTGTTTTAATAATATTAAATTTGATAAATCGCATTTTACGCATGATTTCAATCGAAATCGAAGAAGAACAAGGGAGCTTGATAGGAATAAAGAAGAAAAATTTCGAATGTGAACTTCTTTTCTTAAGCTTAAAATATTTCTTGTAAATATAATTCGATAAAAAATAGAGCGTATTGTTTTTAATTTTATAACTTTTGATAACAAAAGTTTTTTTCTTCTTGGAAATGTCATTAATAAGATGTCACCGGGAAACGGATCTACTGAATACCAAATGTATTATTATTCGTGAGCTTTCGGCTTTGTAGTGTGTGATATCTCAAGCACGTGGATGCCAAAAATAAGTGTCCGACATATTCAAGAATGCACATGTGTTCCCACATATATACATACGGTGTATTATATAGTATTAGTTCTCATATTTTAAACAAAATTGGAATAATGTTTTATTGTGCGTACGTTTTAATTTTTATATTTAACATGTTTAAAAATTTTTAATATTTTATTATTACATAGGATATAAATAACACACAACGATAACTATCACAATTACAGAATTTACGTAAAATATTGCGATATATCTATGAATGCGCAAGTATCGTAATACCCTAGTAAATAAAATGTTAACAATTTGCCGACAAATTGCCAGCAGATTCAAGCGTTACAGCAGACTGACGTCACATCGACGTCACGTCAGTCGCGCGAAGTGCGCTCCATTTTCAAAAATTCAAAATTTTATCCACGTTCATTCGTACCTACGTATCTGGTTTTACGGGACATCTCATAATTTGCAGATTGAAATTGAACAAAAAGTCCCGTATCATTTTGTTATTTTCGCAATTAATGCTAAATTATTAATTAAAAAAAAATCACACATCCTCGGGCCATCAGCAAAAGCGAACAATAAGGGGGAACCTCCTTCCCTCCCTCCCTCCCCCCTCACTCATCATTGATAACACACCATGCGTGATAACGTACCAGCGTGGCCAAAACGAAGTTTGCCGAAGCGAGGCCGAAGCGAGGCCGAAACGAGGTTCGTTCGGAAAGTGAACGATGGTAAACGAGTTGAGCCGATCGAGCAGTCGATCCAACAACTCGCAGCGATGTTCAGTATTGTCTCGCACACAACGAGAGATTGACAGTGTTGACAAGGGGACCAGGTGGACGTGCGAGCTGCGAAGGAGCGTGCGACAAATATGAGCAGAATACAGCAGGTACAGCATCCATACGTTAGCGTTTCCCCGCGTTGTATCTTTGCGGAGCAGAAACCACGCGCGTAATCCAGAATCCTGCGATTTAATCGTATTTCGTTAATTTAAAATGCGGTGCGTTTCGAGAAAGATTCAGCCGCGTTGTTAAATCGCCACATGCGGGACTGATAACGGGAGAGACGCCACGTACTGTCAATGTCCATGAGACTACACAAAGACGTAATATTACGAAGGGAAAAAGAAAGCAAAAAGGAAAAAAAAAGAAAGGAAATAATGCGTTGCTCTCTCTCCGATTCCATTGTACAGGAGAAACCCGTCGAGGATGATGAAATTAATCTCTTCAATCCCGCTATATTGGACAGATTGCCAGTATCGCCCGTTGCTGGGTTACACATAAGACCGCTTAGAACTACGGATTATGATAAAGGTATAGCAATAATACAGAAATAGAGACTAAAAATAATTTTCCATAGCGTTTATATTTAAAAGTTTTTTCTCATTCGTTAAAATCTTGCAAATATAAATTCTGTATACAGTAAAACAGTATTTAAGTCTTGTAAATATTTAATCATTTATAAAATCTTGTAGGTTTCTTGGTCCTGCTGTCTCAATTGACAGATGTTGGAAATGTCACCAAGGAACAATTTTTAAGTAAGTTTTTACAATCGGAGGAATTAAATTTATTGAATAAATAAAAATTAAAATTGATCATTTTTTATTTCGACATCGTTCAGATAGATTCTATAATATGAAAACTGCTGGTGGTTACTACATTGTCGTCATCGAAGATACAAACTCTGGAAAAGTAATAGCATGTGCATCATTAGTTGTTGAGCAGAAGTTCATTCACAACTGCAGTGTGGTACATAATTTTTTATGTTCTCTAATCTCTTTTAAAACATAGAAATATAGAAACAATGTAAAATATATATATATATATTTATTTTTATAGCGAGGACGTCTGGAAGATGTAGTGGTCAATAACAATTACAGAGGTAAATCGTTAGGAAAATTAGTGGTGACGATCGTGGTGCAATTAGCACGCTACTTTCATTGTTACAAATTATCTCTGGATTGTGTGGATCGTCTGGTGCCATTTTATGAAAATATAGGCTTCAAAAGAGAAACCAACAATGCCAATTATCTCAATATGCGCTTCCATGGTGAAAATGCTACGGAACAATCTCGTTTATAATAACTGGTTTATCATGATATTTTATCTAACAGCAATGACAATTCAGTGGCATAGCGTACATTTGAATGGAAAACTGAAATCTAATATCACACTCGCGAGTTATATGTATATATATTCAAATTTTTTGAGAACATGACCAGTGTGAGATGCCCTTTGCCAAACAAAACTTTGCATTTCACATATTCTCTATAAAGAAAATCTCATTATTTTACGAAAGAATCTAAACAAAAATTAATATGCTTTTTTATTTATATTTATAAGAAAGAAAATTTATCCAAGTATTAAAAAAACTAATATTTATACGCGCGCGCCCGTATAACAATATTAAAAGATGTAATTTAAATATATACTGTCGCATTATAGACTGTATAGGTTGTAAAAAAAATAATTGTTAAATAAAATAATTAATCTTACATATACATAACATATGTATATTTTTTCATGCATATAATGTTAATAAATAATGTTGTAGAAAATGTTTTTGGATTAACTTCTTTCTTACATTAGATAAGATTTACAGAAAATACTTTCATTGTATTATTCTCGTAAT